TTCTTGCCGTTCACTTTGAATTCAAGGCTGCCTTTGACAAATTCGCAGCATTTGCATCTTGGCATATGGCATTTGCTGGTTGGGCCATGTTTAGCTCCTAAAGCAAGTTCTTTCAATTTGACGAGGCGAGATTTTAGGCTTGGCCCTGTTTTCTTAGTGTAACTGAAAATTTTCTTCCTAGGCGTGGCAGGTGTTGAGAAGGTCTCTTGGGATGTTTCAACAGTGTCACTTTCACTGAAACTCCTCGTTCTTGAGTCTAGTTATACATTACTTTAACATATTTTATTGATCTGAGGTGTAGTACTGACAGATTCCAGTTCAATTTGTAATAACAGCTATAATTTTAATCATTGAATCAGTATTTTTATCTGTGCTCTGCGAATGCATCACATGAATCAGTTTTTTAATCTATTAACTTATTACACATTTGTGCTCTGCTTTAGCATCACTTGACTATTTAAAAAAAATTGTTTGTTCAGGCCATGACCTTATAGTCAGCCAATTGGCCATTGCTATATTATGTGTATATTGTTTGAATATTCTTTTGTTCAATTTGTAATGGAGTTTTATATTAGCAGGAAAGGATGTAACAGAGTCAATTTATTTTAATGTTGCTATGGGGTTAGGTGGCAACTCCCCGTACATCGTAGTCCGATAGTTTCACAGTGTCGTAATATATTCTTAAATTATGTAAATTAAACTTAAAACGAGCAAATTACGATAGCAGCTCTGACATGTAATGTGCTATATGTACAAAGTCAATTAAATGGTGCTGACAGACGACAACCGATATTGTTTTTCATATCGTTTCCATGTACAGTATAAGCGATGATTTCAAACTGTCAGGAACTTTTCATGTATGTAGCAGGAGACATACACTGACATGAAAAACGAGCGCTTAAAAGTCAGTAACCATACGTTGGCCTTAATAGCACTCTATTAACACTTAACAGTTCTTGACTCATTTGAATGTCCTGCACAACAGATCGAAGCATCTTTAAATTATTTACTATTTTTATTTTATTGCTGTGTAAATTTGGTTCTAATTCTAATTCTAATTCTAATAGCTCAGTCACTGAGTGCGCAATTGAAATAATTAATAACTAATAATAATAATATTAAACGCGAGGAGTGTAATTGCCTCACTTGTATGAATATAGCAAAAAGATACCTTGAATATAAGGATTACAGGAAGCATCTCAAGGTACTTATTGACCGTGTCAAGAAGAATCATTATGCAGGTAAATTAACTGACTGCTCTGGTGATAGTAAGAAAACGTGGGAAATCATAAACACTATTCGTGGAAAATCCAGGCGTGAAATAAAGCCATGTTTTATCCTTAACGATCAAAAAATAATAAATCGTAGGATGATTGCTAATGAATTCAATAAATATTTTCAGTCGATTGCATCCAAACTAAATGAAAATTATTCTGAAGATTATATAACCCTGGATGCAATTCCCTCATTCTCAAACTTCTTACCTAAAACCTGTGAGTCAAGTATATATCTAAGTGATTGTACACAGTATGAAATTATAGATATTATTAATGAGTTCACAAATGGTAAAACTAGTGACATTCCAATTCACGTTATAAAAAAGTCTGCTAGAATAATATCTCCCTTTTTAGCCAAGCACTTTAACCATTGCATGCAACAGGGGATATTCCCAGATGAACTTAAATTAGGAAAGATAAGTCCCATCTATAAAAAAGATAATCAGGAACTATTTGAAAACTATAGGCCAATATCAACCTTACCAGTATTTGGAAAAATTTTAGAGAAACTTATTTATAAACGTATGTACAGCTTCCTAATTGCTAAAAGAATCATTTATGAGAACCAATTTGGATTTAGAAAGGGTCACTCAACAAGCCACGCACTGAACTTATCTGTTAGCCATATCGAATCACACTTAAAAGACAGGAAACACGTTCTTGGCATTTTCATTGATTTAAGTAAGGCTTTCGACACGATATCTCACGAGAAGCTTTTATTCAAATTAAATAATTACGGAATTAGGGGCAACGCACTGAATTTGATAAAAAGTTACCTGTCAAACCGGAGCCAATATGTTCACGTCTTAAATGAAAACTCCGATAAACTTCCTGTTGAGTGGGGAGTTCCCCAAGGCTCTGTTCTTGGTCCCTTACTATTCCTCCTGTATATAAATGACCTATGCAACGTATCTAATAAAGGCAAGTTTATCTTATTTGCTGACGACACTAACCTATTCGTTTCTGCAGACTCGAAAAAAGACGTTTATAATGTAGCTAACGATATTCTTTCGTCTATTTCTAGATACATGAAATGTAATCTACTACATATTAACGCTAAGAAGAGCTGTTATATGTATTTCTCCCCAAACAAACGTGTAAATGAATCGTCTACATGCAGTACACCCGATGATTTAAATCTCTCCATAGACGGCTCCATAATAATACGTGTTAAAACAACTAAGTTTCTAGGTGTGCTGATTGATGATAAACTGAACTGGAAACCTCACATCGAATCACTAAATAAGAAACTAAGAAGTGCTTGTGGACGTATTTACCGCATAAAAAACTGTCTACCTATAAAACTGCACAAGCAGATATACCACACACTATTTGAATCACACCTTACGTTCGCCATCTCAGTATGGGGTGGTGTCTCTAACCAAGTTATCAACCCTGTATTCTTAACACAGAAGAGATGTATTAGAATAATTTTTGGAGATGCAAACTCATACCAAAACAAATTCAAAACATGTGCTCGTTCTAGACCTATTCAATGTAAAATACTGGGTAAATATGAGTCTAATGTTAATAACTCTGTTAATCCACGTATTAAACCATGTGCAAAGTGTGTCCGCTCTAAATCGGTAGTTCATAATAAACTTGTTAGACCCTTATGTTGTCAAAAACTAGGAGCTGAATTCTATTCCAAGGAATCAACCAAACCATTATTTAACAGTCATAAACTCCTTACTGTTCATAATCTTTACAAACTTCGTACTATAACTGAACTTTTTAAAATAGTGAAATATAGGGTACCCATATCTCTCTACTCTTTACTTAACATGTCTGAACTGAGGGATGACCGTCTAATACCACCAAAGCCAAGCCATAACTTTATTTATAAATCTTCTTGGCTTTGGAATCAATTCAAGGACTCCAATCCACAGAATAAACCTGACTTTGTGAACACATCCTGTAACTCAATCAAATCAAGGCTAAACCGATCTCTTCTAGATGCCCAAAGCAGGTTCGATAATGAGTGGCATAATGACAACTTTAACAGTTTTGGACCATGCTAGATTATTGATAAAAACGTGGAATTTATGTAAACAAATACTTAATTACTTAAATATTGCCGTTTCCGTACGGCGCTATACGTAATATATGTTAAAAGCGCGCCGCAGCTACTCCCTACCTCAACATTTGCGCGGGTTTCTTAAGCGCGCACGTACGTTTATTCTTGGCCGTTAATCAGACCCATGACATAACGCTATAACGCAAAATGTTCATTATATGCAAGCCTCTTGATTTATAACGCTATAGGTGGCAGTGACTGTAATTTTCTTCAACAATTACTGAATTATCCATCCATAAAGTGATTTACAAAATGACACCTAAACCTCGTGTTTCGGTGTTCACTTAAACAGTACTTGGCGGCTGAACTGTGGTGTCTGACGTTTGTAGCTAGATCGGACTCTGCATGATATTGTATTAGCAAATTTGTATAGTGTATAATTGTTTAGTGTTTATAATACTCTGCAACCTGGTAGCACGGCTGACACAAAAACAAAATGTTGGCCTGGCTTGTGCATAACCAAGTAAATAACACGCACTCCGATAAAAGCCGTCTGGAGAAACTCCGCAAAATGTTCATTGTAGTCAACGGGCACAAAGAAGCACTACTAGCAATTGTGTCCTTTACCCTCCTACATAATTTGAACATTTTTGTGGCTAACTCATTAAAATGTGTCTAGTATTAAAAGATTCAGTAAGTAATTTTTTCATGTACGCTGTACACTGTAGTTAGTAAATCAAATCAAACTTTTTCGATCAGCCGCGCGCTGAACCAGTGTTGCACTAGGTAATAATTGTGTATATTTTGTTCATTTTTGAGTGTAAATTAATTTATTAATTTATCACAAATTATTTTATTATAATATAACCACTTATGTGAAATGGTTATTTTGACTTTAAATATTTGAACTAAATATGAATTGATTGTGGGTATAAAATAAAATTTGTTTTACTAAAAATTTGTTTTACTAATTCTTTCTGGTATGACTTACTACCATCACTGGTTAGAGGAATTTGTCAACTCGAAAAATATTTGTGTTCATTTTTTCAAATGAGTAGTGACATTATACCATCTGCAAAGTTACAGGTCTCAAATATGAAACACGGAGGTGGTATAAGACCCAATGTATGTGCACTGACTTTTGGCCCCCCTTGTACTTGTAGTAAAAATTGGATCAATCTTTGGATCAATCTTGAAAGTTGAAACCCCCTTGAAAATTTAATGGTCCATTGAAGATAATTTTCAACAGTCTTAGCGATTACAGCAGCAGGTTGGAAATTCTGAATTTAACTAGTAGTTTGTTAGTAGATAATGGATCAAATATTTTCAATATTAGTAGATCAGGAATGAATATTGTCTCAAAGATAAAGTGCAATAAAAAAGCTCTGCACTCTCCCACATCATCATGGCCCTATGAAACGTCTTCTAAAACTTTAAAGTATCAATTTGGAGAACCTGTAGAAATATTTTGATAAACTTACTATAAATGATTTGAAAAAAAATGTTGTTTTATTCCTGACTTATTTATAGTAGTAGTAAATACTGTGTTTCGTTTCGTTTCGTATAAGACTAAACAATTCCTCTCCTCAGGAATCAGGATGCTCTTGTATATAATAATCAGTGCGTTGTTTATTTCTGCCAATGCAAACACCCTGAATGAAAACATTTATACATCAGTAGACTTTGGCAATGTTCACAGTTTTCGAATGAACAATTTCAATTCTCAAGTTGGCTGTCAAACAAGTAGAGATGGCGATGATGGTGTTCTTTATCAGTTTGAATCAGTGGAAGATGTAGAAAATAACCTCCAGAATCTTGAAGAACCCCTCATTCCTGTAATTAGTGGATCTATCTTTAATAACATCACTGCATCATTGTTTTTGAAGCATTCAAAGACTAGAGGATTACTTGTGCTAGAAGATGATGAGATAGAAGTAGGCTCATACTCACCTGAAAAAGCGTGTCCTGGAAATGGGTTCAACCTTAAAGAAAATGCTGAAGAAGTTGCTCCTCGTCAATGTCTGAGTAAAAACATCTGGAATCCAGATGGGAACTGGCTCTCATACTATGACTTTCCCTTTGGAGTATTTATCATCAAATCTAAGTCTCAGAAAGAGGTTATTATCAGCAAGGCCAAAGCAAACAAAGAAAACAGTTTACTCAAGTCCTATCCATTGTGGGGTGGGGAAGTTAAAGCTTTTATGAATTCAGCACAAAACACAGATACATGCATGAGGCGTGGAACATGTGATCCCATCGGTGGAGTGAATATAAATGTTAACATTATTCCCAAAACCGAGGATGACAAACGACCAATTATCCTATTTGTCACAAAAGCTGATGCAACTGCTTATTTTAAAGACCTTAGTTTCGGAGGAAAAGACAGTGGAGCAAGTGTAGCATTGCTGTTGGGTGTTGTTAAAGCGCTCTCCAATGTTCGTGACAATGACAAAAATAACGACTTTAACAGTATTTTGAAATCAGATTTCATGGTAACCTTCCTTCAAGGGGAAAGTTTTGACTACAGTGGATCTCAAAGATTGGCATATCAGTTGAAAAACAAACAATATGGGATGAAAGCTTACAACATCTCTCTAGATGACGTTAAATGTATAATCGAGATTGGTCCTATCAGTATTTCTAACGAACTCTACCTTCATTCCACCCAACCTGACAGTGACGAAACTGTAAAAGAAATTCAAGATTTGTTTACCAAGTACACTGAATCTACAGACTTCCAGTTCAAAACTAGACGAGGAATGCCACCTGCCTCAATAAACAGCTTTCTCCGAGAAGACGAAACCAAATCAAGTGTTCTGCTTACAGATGGAGATACTGAGCTGCTATCCCACGTGTTTGGTAGCAGATATGATATTTTAGATAATAACAAAGCATTAACAACCAAAGTAAAAAATCTGATAAAAATAATTGGAAATGTTGCCCTGCAGCTGGCAGGAGGAAAAGAGTCACCTCAAGTTGAAGTTGAAGAAAGTCTTGTTGGTGAGATCTTGGATTGCATCCTTGTTAATCAAAACTGCACTCTCCTTCAACGTCTTAGGCCCAAAACCTATCAGTTACATGATGGGAGACTGAATAGGTACTCAAGTGTGGGACAGAGATCCAACTACAGCACATCTTTACAGCTCCTGGCTCAAGAACTAAGCAAGAAGGAGTTTGACTTGACAAAAGAAAAGTGCAATGCCACCTTCATGAGCCCATGGGTCCCTTATTTGCCCCCTTATTTGCTCGATGACACATGCTATGGTATAATTATTAATCGGACTACTGCTCAATCTCCTGCTTTCAAACTGAAAGAGTACAACAGCACAAAATATTCAACATGGACTGAAAGTCGTTGGTCCCCCAACTTCCAAGTCCGTTTATTCCTAATGGCCTCTACATCGGAGAATACCACTATGGGTTGTTGTGGACTTGTGTACTTTGTTGTAATGTCAGCCCTTATATTTCAGTGCCATCGGAGAAGTGATCAGATTTTTCCATCGGCAAGTTAGATGTCAATCATTTGAACTTAATATTTGATTTGTTTTATAAAATTATTCATTTCAAATTTTGCTACCACAACTAGCATAACACAATATTCTTAGTTTAGATACTCTCAAGTGCAGGCGCAATTTTAAAACACTTAGATCTTTTAGTTTGCTGGCACATTTTCAAGATAATGATTTATCGTTGGGTGAATATTTATTTTTTTAATCATCGCTGGCTTTTTCCGTCCACGAATTTGATAGCTGGTTTGAGAGCTATACGCTATACAGGGATGCAGTTAATTTTGAATTTAACTTTCCGCTTAGTCGTGAATAAATATCGATTGGAAGTGGTTACAATGTTTTACCGTAATAGTATGATGGTTATTTTACGGTTCTAGTCATTATGCTGAAGGTTTGGAAACACAGGTAGGATCAAAGTTCACAAAAGGTTGAACAAATAAACGCTTAATGAAATAGTGCAAGTAATCATGCAATTCAACAACTGATTCCGTTTTAATTAATATTTGAAATATTTGATTGATCAAATTATCTGATCTGAGTCAAAACAGACACCCGAGTCGGGTGTCTGTTTTGACTCAGCCCCCGTATCTTCATACCAGAAAATACACTCGGGCTGGGATATCCAGAGCACTTTTAATTTCATAAGTTCTGTAGTATCAAGAGATTTATAAGACAATTAGCTAGACTTGTTCTGTTATTTCTGTAACAGTGCTGACTTTTCTTCACAGATAATCAGATAGCCAAATTATATAATTGATGTAACAAAAGTGCGTGGTAATTTTTAGTATTTGTTGAACATTATTTTGTAATTATCTTGTTATGTTTTAAGTATTTTGTTAGCAAACAAAATTTGTATCAATTGCCTACCGTCAAACATTCTAACTACAAGCTGAACCCAGTATCTCTTCCATATTTTCTAAAGTTTGAGCGCATGTGACTACATATTTTTGAAGTTTGAGCATAAAACCTTTTGGATAGTAATATAATGCAGTTTTTGTGGAGCAGAAGTACTAATGATCCCTCTACAGGATGTAAAGCAGAAATCGTCAGATCCTCATGTCTTTCCTACAAAAGAGTGGTAAACAGAGTAGGGTATGCTAAGTGTAGGGTGACACGCACCAACTTACTTTATACAGGTTCGTTACTACAGATACTTCCCTCCGTTACTTACAGTGATAATATCAAGAACTTGGTGGTAATTATTTTCACCATCTACAGTTTTAAAAACAATTAATTAAGTTTATTAAGTAGAATTAAGAAGCTCCTCTCTCCTCACCAGATCATGGGATCATGTTGTTCACGACAGAAGAAGACCACGAGGAAGGGTAAAGTGGTTTACGAGTACGACAAAGTACCGGACAGTTTCCACTCCCCCGACTCTCCCGACAAAGTTAACCAACATCTTCACATACAGCACATCAGCGAACGAGATGGTTTGTTGTTTAAATATAATTAAAAAACCAGGGAGGGGGGCCGAGGGGTTGCATTTTGTAAGAAAAACAACGTTCAAAGTAGCTGGTACATCCTCATATTATTTTTCTGTTTCAAAGCTTTGGCTGTGCGATTCAGTGGTTTGATAGTTATGTGATCTGAGATGGTTACTCCGAAATTGCGTCCCTGTCTGACAGTATTACACAAATTGGTTTGTTAGCGGAGTTGTTTGATTCACGTTATAATGTAGGGTATTATATAACCTGACGTTATATAACCTGACGTTGGATCCATTGACGTGATGTGAGGCGCTAGGTTGTCATGTCCAATATTTTATGGTCATTAAAACGTAGGTATTAGAAGTCTGGAGTCTGGACAGCATTCTCTGTTCAACTATCGTCAGATTGTTAAATACCTCACTTCCCAAGAATTGAGTTGGAAAATTCTCAACTAATTTGCTCTCGTGATTTGGGCACTTTCTATAGATGATGCTAATCGCAGTAAATTTGTCTGTAAGCAACTTTGTTGCGAATAATTTGGATATTTGAGCATGACTTAAATCTTTCTTCTTACAAATTAATCCTGTGACGTAAAATAACCACCACCTCCCCCACAAATGTAATAAAATTAAAAACGCCTCCCTCACAATTTCATCACAACCACTTTCCCTCAGTTGTATCACAAGATCTGTTGCCGGATGATCAGGAGAACGGAACGATGTTCCTGCGGAGAATAACCATGGACGAGGGATCACTCCGAAGATCCCTGAAGAACAGACATCGCGGTAAAGGTTCTCTCAGCTCCGATGTAAGTCTTCTGAACATTCTCCACTTTGTTAACATATCAATTCTAGAAACCATATCCTGCTTGGTATTGTAATGCTGTTGTAAGTATTTGAACACGTACTGTCACAATTACAAGTAGAGATGTTAAAGCCTTATAAGGTCCTGATAATGATGATCGTATTCAATGTGTGACGTGGTAAAGGTGATAGAACCCTCGCAGTTACTTGTCTACAATGAAAGCTATTTTGATTATCATCTAAAAGGCTGCTTTTATACAAAATAATATGAAATCATGTCTTATCAACTGTATGATATGCTCTAAAACTCACCAGAGTATAAAGTATATTTGACTAGTAAAATATGTTACTTACCACAATATTACTTACCAATTTGTTACTTACCACAAATACCACAATATCACTTACCAATATGTTATTTACCACAATATTACTTGCCAATGTGTTACTTACCACTATATTACTTACCAATGTGTTACTTACCACACGCTCGTAAACCTGGTCGTAGTTACTGTTTCTCAGGGCATTGTGAATGACTATGCCGTATTATTGTTACTGATTTATTGATACCATTCCCGCAATTCGAATTAGGCTATAATCCCAGAATCTCTTCCTTTTTTGGTGTCTCGGAGGCACGGTTGGTTTAAACTGTTCTGAAAATAGCTTTCATTTAAAGGCATTTAGTCCTTAAATATTTTACTTGCCAGAGAAAAGTTTGGACGGGACATACACAAAGATGCTGCGTATGGTGCTGGGTATCTCATGGAAGGACAAGGTCAGCAATATAACTTTGTATGGTAGCCTCCCAAGGCTGTCAAACAAGTTACGAAGCAGGAGATTAAAAATGGCGGGACACTGCATCCGACATCCTGAGCTACTTGCCAGTGATTTAGTCTTATGGGAACCTACGCACGGTAGAGCACAGCAAGGCCGACCAAGACAAAGCTACTTGTCTATGTTACTGAAGGAAGTTGGGACAAACTCTAAAGAGGAACTGCGAACCCTGATGCGGGACAGGGATATATGGAGGGGGTTTTCTGGCGTAGATCGGACTTAGCTCCGACATAGTAGTATAGTAGTAGTAGTAGTTGCCAGACTGTTACCGAAAATAGGCGGATTGTCAACTTCTTCCTTTATTAAGGATATTTCTTGCAACTGCTTGGGCAGTATGGTTGTCAAAGTTAAATAAGAGTGGTAAACTGCCAACTTTCTTAGACTGAAGTTTGGACAATATTTTTAACTGAATCTTTATATCTAAATTCTAAATCATTCCGCTAATTTCTCAAAGAGCAAACCAGCACAGATAGTCAAGTCGTCAAGACTAATCATCTTGTTTCACATTGCTTCGGTTTTGGATGGGTTTTTTTAATCGATTTGATTTAAGATATTTACTATATATTTTGAATTGACGCTTCACGCTGCCTATGATATCTATGTAGTAGAATGAACACGTCAATGATCGCATAAAACTGGTTGCGCGGGAATATATAAAATGGGTATTTATCTTGAGTTTCAAGGCAACCTACGTGTTCTATGATAGGTATCTTGATATTGGCTGGTTGAATCAATGAATCACTCCAAATAAGCTCACGATTTGTTGGACTGTAGAGAATTGAGAGCTGGTGAAGGTGTTAAATGTGCCGTTTAACCACTTTTCTAGTTCTTTCTGGCAGGTTACTGGTCGTCGAGCAATGTTACTAGTACTACCTATACCACTGTCAATATCCGCCGAAGAATCATAATATGGGTTATTTTTTGAAAAGGTAAAATAAAGTTTGACTCTAGTTACAAGTTTTACAAGTTTTAGTTATAAACCTTAGACAAGCTCAGGAAAATTACCAGTTGAGAACGACAAATTGACAAGATGCTCATGAAGATCAATATTACTTAAGGCATGCATTTAACTTCGATGATCGGAGAATCTTGCTTGATAACAGTTCACTCAGTTTCTAGTGCTTGTTAGTAATTGTTTCTTGTCACGCCACACAACCTAGTTTTGACAGTGAAATGAGGGCAGCATTACGTTAAACGTGTTTCAAAGAAGCCTCAAAGTATTCTATGTTAAAATTGTTGAAGTTTTTTGTGCTAAAGCTTGCTCGGGCTTTAGAATTATGATAATTTATGCTGGTCTGAAAATAATATTAAGGTAAAATATTAAGCCGTATACAATGTGAGGTGCTACATTTCAAGCTATTTTATCAATGAGTTTTTATTAAAGTTTTACAGGTGTAATGTTTTTAGGTTTTTCTCAGAAAGTGGAAAGAGATAAAACACAGGACACCCCAAGATATGATATTATATTTATAGAAATGTGTGCTATCAATGTAGAATTTTCAAAAATAGCCTCGCCACAATTATACAATATTAAAACACAAAGTTTTCACAGCGCCTATATATAATATTACAGTCGCACGACACATCAGCAGAACTGGTTAATTACATTGCTTATCACATAATTGGTAATTACTATAATTGATTGGTAATGAAATACTGTGATTAGTGTCGAATAATTGTCATCTGAAAGCAGATCATGTGGGACCATCTCTCACGCGCTTACATTTTACACCACACACTCGCTCTGGGCTTAGCTGAATGCTTACCTGACAAGATAACATCACGTTGAACTGTCAGCTATGTGGCCCTTACAGGGACCTTATACCGTGTTACAATTGAAAGTATCTGCTGGTCACGTGATTGTCACGTGCAAGTCGTAGCCCCCAGTCACGTGTCTTGTAGATTTACCAAAAAAGGTACACACGATATCATGTCCTCTTTAACGTGCCTACCGATTACTATAACTTATTCAACACTGGTCATATTCATATTGTTAAGTATTAGTAAGGGGAAAAGTGGTCGATTTAAGGGTTCCGTTGGATTTGAATGTTCACAAGGATTTCTCAACGGAATATGGTATTTAAGACCCCTACGAACATAATTAGACTTGTTGCCAATTTTGTATCTCAACAGAAACACCACTTTTACCACTTTTTACCACCTTTGTACCACCTGTCTGGTTTGCCAAATATCTTTAGTTGTGAACGTCGTAAAAGGCTGCAAATTAACCTAGAATGTTTATCTTATCAAGGAGTAAAACTTTTGTGTGAAAAATTTTTACATTGGACAATCAGCTAATTGGATAATTACCAATTAGTTAATCACCAAAAAAAGTGAAAATGTTTTATTGGCTCAAAATGATTGAAATCGTTTGAAACACGGAGAAATGTAGTTTTTAGAAAAACTTCAAAAATTTTTCACTTACAAATTTTTTTCGAGACTTTGAAAAAAGTTTGAAAATTTGAAAATATTTTTTTCCGCCAAAAGTGATCGAATTGCATGAAACGTGGATAAAAATGCTTTGCAGAAAAACTTCGAAGATTTTTAGATTGGGGAATACTAAAATCATCAATATTTGAAGTTGGAGTTCAGTAAATCTCGACATATGTTAGTAATTAGGAATAGCTTAGCGGAAAGGGCTGAACCTGAAAATGGTTAACCACACAATATTAGAGTTTCATAACTAATTACAATACAGCTTTATCAAATTCCACATAATTTCACTTCATATCTTATTACCACAGTATCTGCCAAAACCAACATGGCCCATGTGGAAGGGGGCCTTGACGTTGTTGACCACTTGGCCCTGCATCCCAAGCTGACGGTCGGCCTCCACTCTCTAAAAACATACCTTCAGTGAAGGCAGATGGTCAGCAAATAGCGATGCTAGGGCTTGGTGTGAACAAATCTTGACCTACTTTCACACCTTAGGGACGACTCTCGCAAATGCGAGAGTAATGACCCCGGGGAGGGCCCCATTGGTTTTAGTAGGTTGCATTTTAAATTTTTTAAAAAATTTTTAAAAAAAAATTCCACATAAAGAAACAGCACAAAAGGACCATTTAAGATCGAACCGATTTTACCTGCTGTACTATCATTTTATTGATTTCAATGATCAAAACCTCTGTACCGTCAATTTTGCCAATCTATACCGGGTATCTGAATGTACCGGACCTCTTATTTACCTCTATAATTAGACCCAGTTGTGCAAGAAATGCGATTTCTCACAGGGGCTTCTTTAAACTGTGCACTTTTTGTCACTCTCGCAACTCGCAAGAGGCCCGGTATTATAGGGGGGTATAGGAAGCGAGTGTAAATATACCTTCCATCATCCACTGTGGCTTTTTTGTATTGTGAATGCGCATGCCGCTTCGTTTGCTATGCCAGATACCTCGAATAACCCCCATATATCATTGCCAGGGTCGGGATAGAGCTGGAGATAGCATTGAAAAGTTGCTAGAAATAGCTAGATTTAGAGTAAACTGGTGGTAGCTGGGTGGTGCTAGCATGGATGTAGCAGAACGTAGCTACACGGGGTTTCATTGGAGTTGGTTATTTTAATGGAGCTAAAGTTACTTAAGATTGCAGTTGAGGGGCAGTGTAAACCACGGTGTAGTCAGGGACACAGAGCTACAGTGCAGGAGTACTGCAAGTGCAATAGAACAGTGCAATTGATACAGTCTGCAACAGTAAAACGCCGACGAAGCTAGACTTAGAATGAACTGATGGAAGCTGGGTGGTGCTAAAATGGAGGTAGCAGAACGTACTACATGATGAAAACAGGAAAACTAAGGCTGGTTGAGACCTAAAAAGATGTGAATCTGTCCTGATAGATCCAGTGAAGAGCGAGTAGCGAAGAGTTTGATCACTAACCTAAAGCTCTAAAGAAGAAGAGGGCTAAAGAGACTCACTTTGATCAATCAATCCGGTACGGCAAGGTCTGTAGCCTTGATAAGAAGATACCATGAAGTAATTCATGCGGAAAAGTCGATTTATATAAAGGGTTTCGTTGGATCTAAAAAGGGTGGGTCAGTCTCTCTGTTTTCATCAGATTCTGATGAAAGGCTGTTAAGCTCAGGACGGTGATCTTAATAGGTCGGATAGCTGTACCTGGTTGCTTCCAGCCCACCCTTGTCGCTTGAAAATAAGTTCTCACCCCACCTCTTCCAAA